GCATCGTGCCTGTCGTAGGGTATTCCGTACATATCGATGTTGGTTGTGGTTGCATTGTATGCGGTTGGGGGGTGTTATCGTTGTGGAATATTCATCTGTTTGTGGTCAGTTGCGAATCTGCTGAGTATGCTTGCGCTGCGTATGATGGATTCGGATTGTTTTGTGGGCGTGTGGAGTTATTCTGGTGTCCGAGGTGTTATGCGAAGGCGGCAGAGCAATAAGTTTCCGGATACGTAGTATGCCGATTATGTGCAGATGACTTGACAAGAAAAATGTGAACTGTAATCCATTTTTAACAATGTTTAGTGATTTCCACTCACAGAATCCTATGTCAGCAACCACCACAGCTCACAATGCAGAAGGGTCGCTATACTCTGGATGTAAGTATGGGATCAAGTCAAAGTCACTGGAGGGTGATGATTTTCTATGACTATAGATGTGATTTAAAGCAGCACCAGAGTGTTGAGCGATTGCGTGCTACGTTTTGTGATGATGCTCCTTGAAGAACTACCGTGTTTGAGTGGTTTACGGCATTCAAGCGTGGCAAACGGTCCTTGGATGACGAGGCACGGTGTGGTCGACTTGTGGAGGCCACCATCGCGGGCAACATTGCTGCTGTATAAACGGTGCTGAAAGAAATCACGCGGGTGACTGTGGTGTAGCTGGGGAAAGCCCTCAGGATCGAACTGCAGCATCCTATGTGAGAACCCCGGTCACAGAAAGGGTTGCGCAAGCTGGGTACTCCATCAGCTCAGTAAGGATCAGAAGGCAGCTCGAGTGAATTGGTGCTGCACCGTGCTTGCCAGGTTTGATGGTGGACGTTCCAATGCTGTTTTGTGAGATTCTTAGTGGTGGTGAGATTTGGATGTACAGTTTCGGACCTGAGACAAATCCACAGTCGGCTCAGTGGACAGCGGTTGGTGGGGTGCTGCCTCAGAAATTCTGGCGTGATTGCAGTATGGTCAACCGGATGGTTTCTGTGTTCGTGTCCAAGGTTGGTCATGTGGCTACTGTACCGCTCGTACGGCAACGCACAGTCATCGGAGACTGGTATGCCACCCACCGTCTGCCAGCAATGCTGGAGGCTGTAGCCAGGCGTCGTTCAAAGGCTCGAGCATAAGGGACCATGCTGCACCCTGACACCGCACCTGCACACAGGTACAATGTCGTCGTAAATATTATGGTTAGAGGACGCGTCAAAAAGGTTGGTCACCCACCCTACAGTCCAGACCCGGCTTCGTGAGACCTTTTGTGTTCTCAGATGTCAAGGATATGATGCGTGGAATCCGATACGAGTCTCCTGAAGCTGCAATACGGTCCTTTATTGAACTGCTTGGGTGGTTACGCGCTTCTGCATGGTCTTGCTGCTTCTCCATATGGTTTGAGCGCATGGACGGTGATGGAGGGTACTTTGAGAAAATGAACTGCTTAGTTTGTTGTACAACACAAAACATTTTGTGCATCTGGACACTTATCGCTGTGCCGTCGTACGCATGTGCCTCATGCTGTGGTTAATGTTGCATACGCCATGCTTCTTTGCTACGGTTGGGTTACACTGAGTTACCATTATCCTATTTCCACCTCAATTCGCTTACTTTGCTTTGCTCAGTGCTTTTTCTGCCGCACATTTACTGTGCATTTCGCATATGGTATAGCGGTGCCGTTCTCATGTCTAGCTGCGAAGCACCGTCTTGTGTGCTTTTGGTACGCATGATTCCCAATTTCGCTCTACGGAACTATTGCTGCTGCTATGCGTGTCGGAGGAGTTTGAGCCGGGTCCGTTGATGTAACATAGTTCCCATCCACATGCTTCCGGGTCTTATTGCTCCAGGTTTACCCTAGATATGGAGTGTGTGGTTGGTGCAGCGCGAGCTACCTATGATCCCTTAGTAAGCGTAGGCATCCTGTGGCTGTCCGCATGGAGGCCTCAGTGACAGGCAAATGCGGAGCCGGATGCCGTCAACGATGTATGCGTCAAGGTAGGAGGTACGTATGCCATGTGTGTGTATTATGTTGTTGGCTTTGATGTTGTTGCATTCCGTTGTCTTACGATTGGTGCGGGGTTGTGTGTTTTTCTCTGTGTTGCGATGTGACTGGGTGTGGTTTCGCGTGACCATGGTTTGTCATGTGGAGTTTTGTGCTTAGTAGATGTGCGAGTGCTTGTAACGAGTTTGTTTATGTTTTGCGCGCATTTGTGTTTGTTGTTTGGATAACATGGTCGTCTGTATAGTTTTCTTGTGTACTTTGCATTCTATCACTTGTCAATAGTGAGAACGCGAAGGAGGTGTGTGGCAACCCGTTAAGTGCGTTCGCAAGCCATCCAGCGGCTTCACACTGTTCTGTGTGTTGGGCCCTCTGGCTTGCAACATTGATGATGTGAGTATCCGTTCCAGCTTCGTCTGGTGCGTGTGTTCTGTTGTTGAACACATGCGTAATCGACTTGCAGCACGTTTGCTTGTTCGTGTGTACTCGCTTGGTTACTTTGGCGTTGGTTGTGTGTGTGTGTGCGCGTTGTGTATGTTTATTCGAGTCGGTCGTGTCAAGCCGGCCTGTATCCTTAATGATCACAAGCCTGCTTTTTAAGCTTATAAAGCGAGTTGTAGTCTGTTTTGGTGGATCTGGCGACTCTCGCACTATCTGTGTCGTACGTGCGACTGGTAGTGGTTGAGTGTCAGCGAAGTGTCAGTTCTTTGTGCCAGCGTACTGCTGATGTCTTTTATGTGTTAGGTACATATTGCGGAATCGCTTGTGTTGTGTTCTGTACGTGATCAACGTATATGGTAGGAGATGGTTTTTGTTGCATCACATGAACTCCCACCTGGTTCGTTGTGCAAATGTTAGCTGTCTGGGAGATGTGCCGTGAACTTGCGATGGCGAAGGCTTCGAATGCATCTGGCATGGATGCCCTTTCACCATGGTTTGTGGGAACAGTAAGGAGAGACGTTTAGTGTTTTCGAGGATGATTCTTCGACTGTGTGCTGTGTTCCTCTTTGAATGATATTTTTGTTGCACCACTGTGTTGCTGGTGATCGTGTTGGCGTTCGCGCAGTGTGCACGTAGGCAAGCATAGCTGGGTATGTGTGACATGGTATTCCAGGTGTTCGAGCTTGCTTTGTCGATGGTGTGAATGTCCGTGGACTCAAGACTTCCACATGTCCGTTAGTTTAGACTTCGTCTGCCATCACCTGTTATTTTCGTGTATTTGTGGTGTGCGCGTTGGTTCTGTTGTTGGCTGACCTTCATAGTGTGCGTGAGATTTGTGATGAGTTAATCCAATGTGGTGCTTTGAGCCCCCATCACATGTGTTGGTGTGTGTGTGTGCGTGATGTTGACTTAGATTATGCCCTCTTATGGTTGGTGTTTTATTCACTTGGATTGTGTGTTGTGCAGGCACTCCACCCCGACTCGAATTTGTTATCGTGCACGGGACTATGCGCTTGCGACATAGACGTGGCTACCCCTGCGATGTCTAGCCGTGTTTTCTGGCTGGGCATATGCATTGGCGGCATACATTGGTGTTGTTATTGTGCGTTCGGTGATGTGTTTCGTGTCTGTGTACTGCCATCTGTGTCGTGTGGTGCGGGTGATTCATATGTTGGTGCATATATTATTTGTGTTGACTTTTCTGGCCGCCTTCTTCTGGTTTATTGTTCGGTGGAATGGTGAATGTTTTTTTGTGTATTGGCGTTTCGGCCGGATGCATTGACGTATACGTTATGTAGTTTATCTGTTTATATGAAGCGTTAGAGTGTTAGTTTTTCCTTCGTTGCCCCATGTGATTCGGATTCATCATTGATGAGAATCGCCGTCATGCTGGTGGCTGTTGTGTGTGTTTTTTTGTTGTTGGCGGTGTTATTTTTGTTGTACTTAAGATGTATGCGAGTGCTAACGAGTTACGTGTCAAGCAGTTCGCAAGTGAGTAGGTCGCTGGACGTTGGCTAGGGTGCTGTTAGGTTCAGCTTGCCATGTAGATGATTTAATGTCCGTCCGTGTGGGATGTTGTGATCCGCTCATAAGTGGTTTACAATACGTGCTTTGTTACGCTCTCAGCTGTTTGTCCTTAGTGACTGTGGTTCGCGTACGTGTTGTGTTTATGTGTGTGCGTGTGTGTGGATCGTGTAGGTGCGTGTTGGAAGTAGATTTTTAATGAGTGTGGGCTGTATGCCTCGTTTATTGTGTTTAAATGTGGTCAATATGTTGGATATATGAATCGCTTTCTTGTAGTATTTTCCTTTGGTCTGTGATTGCTGCTAGTGTGCTGTGGATCGGTGGTAAAGCTGCTTTCACGTTGCTGGTGTGCGGTGTTATGTTTTTGTATACCATCCTCTTCCTATTCAATGACGCCGGTCTCCATTTTCGTGGTTGCAGTCTTCTCTCCCTGTCTCCTTTTCGCTTTTTCCTCATTTTCGTGCATTTTAATTACTTTTTTCTGTTCCGGTGGTTATTCGTTTTACCCTCTTTTTATGCAATTTCACTAGGCTGACTGCCATTTTGGACGGAATCACAAGGCCCATAGTACAGCGCACCGGTATTTAGGCTTTATATCTTTCAAGCATCGAAAAACCGAGTGGCATGCATTCAATATGGCGTGCTCGGCTTGAGCTCGCTGTTGAAACGAAAACAAATTTATGTAAAAATATCCGGTTGGTTGAATAATTTCTCTTCGTTTCAACTCTCCTGCCCCATGGGTCTTACGAGTGTGACGTGAAAAGTTTTTTTAATCGTTTCATGCTTATTGAATCGTTGCAAACTTTACTGTAATCCGGGGGCGGGCAATGCTATTTTCAACCAATCCCCACCCGCATTTAAAGCCTCAAAAATCGAAGCGCGCAGGTACGATGAAAATTTTAATGACTGTGTTCAAGCTCTACATCACAATACTGGTTATCTATTGTTCTTTAGTGATTGCACCTCACTACTGTACCTTGGTGGATTCATCCGAAGTATTTCTTACCGCCTTCTATTTTACACCTTTTCTGTCCCCATCCTCTTCATTTTCAGGATGTTTGTCTTCGGCTGCTGCGAAACGAAGGATTCTTTTCCCTATGGAAAGGCTTTACACCGTATTTTCTGCGTCTTGGCCCACACACTGTGCTCACATTCATCTTTTTGGAGCAGTTCAATCGTGCTTACCGCAGATTCGTGTTGTCCGATGACAGTGTTGGCCCTCGTCGGGGCGGTCTTTAAACGCCGTCGTCCGGTCCACTGCGTCACCCTGTGGGTTAGTTTATTTTTCTTGCCTATCACTATGTGTACCTACGATAGTTTTCCCTCCTCAGTCTGTCGCGGTTTTATCCTTTTGACTTGCGCTTATTAAGCCCACCTTGTTTCATCGAATTTGGGCTACACATTCTCTTCTCGACATGCGTTGGTTCTCCTCCTTTAGTCCGTGCTGCTCACATCGTGTTTCATTGTTTAGGGGAACTCATAAGGACGTCACCGGAGATATTTTCGTTGCTGATGTCGGGTCCGAGCAATAAGGCTTCTCCGATTCGCCACTCGTCCACTTGGCACTTAGGAGCTACGAAGCCCTTCTAGGTCCATTTATGGATCAGCAAGAGTGTGAACACTTGCGACCATGTTCTGTGTCCAAAATCGTAGACCGTTTATATTTCATGTGAAATAAGTAACAGCGATTGTTGTTGTCCAAAGTAATTTGCACAGGGTGGTTCACTCTTGCCTGAATTGAGTCATTTCTCACCTGCGGAGTCAGTATTTGTGGCGATATTGTTGTTATTTGAAACTGGGGCCACACAGCACATCAACCAGCCGACGCGCATAACTGCGCGCGCGACTCCGTAGTGCTTAGACCTGCTGTTGACCAGCTGTGAGCAACGTGTTTATGACATTCAGGTCTTGGAGCCTCTGGGAGCGAGGGACCACTCGATGGTCTTAGCCAGTTTGGAACTGCCGCTGCCGTATTCTCCTCCGCTGGAACCAGCCTTCAGGTATTGGAAGGCGTACTTTACTGACCTTACTCGAGCAGCGATTCAGATGTACTGGTCGTTACCAGAGGATTCGTCTGTTGAAACCTGATGGACTATCATTAAAGTGGGAGTTAAATTGTTGTGCGCCCGATTTGTACCCCTCAACTATCAGAAAGTTGGGCCAGTCAATCCACATTGGTTCGACAAGGAGTATAGCAAACTGGCCCGACGACGACGCAGACCATGGAACAAATTCCTGTTACCTGGTTCTGACGCGGATTACAAGACGTACAAGGTACAGCAAAATCTCTGCAGCGACATGAAAACAAAAAAGCGCAGGAGCTCCGAGGAGCAACTTGCAGCGGACGCAAAAACTGATCCGAAGATCTTCGCCTACGGGGCCTGAGGCCTGCAGACAATGTGCCAGTATTGGAAGACTCAGATGGACAGCCCCTAACCTCGCGCACAGATCGTGCGTCGGCATTGGCAGCGCACTTGCATCTGTATTTACAATTGATCAAGTGTCTGTACCGGGTTCGACGGGTACCGCCCCCTCTGAACTTGACAGCCTGGATTGCAGCATTGAAGATGTGCGCAAGTTGCTGGCAACTCTTGGCGGGACGAAGCCTGCTCGGCCAATTGGAATCCACCCACTGATCCTCAAGTCCCTATCAGCCATCATCTCGAGTTCTGTAACTAAGCTGTTCAACAGGTCATTATCAATTGAACTATTACCGGGCGTCTGGAAATGCTCAGTCGTAAAGCCAATACCGAGAGGTGGTGACCCAAGCAAACGGGATACCTACCAGTCCATCTGCCTTACCGCCGTTTTTAGCAAATACGCTTAAGTAGATCGTGAAGAAGGCTCTTCTGCAACTTCTAGAGTCAAAAAGCCTGTTGACGCCCGCACAGCATGGTTCCGTGGAAGGTCGCTCGTGTATCACTAACCTATTGTTAACGAGTCACGAATGCTTGCAAGCGCTAAACCAAAGCAAGTCGGTCGACGTCATTTACATTAACTTCGGTAGGGCTTTTGATAATCTGAATCATACATTGATACTCGATAAGTTGGGGGTGTGCCGTGTTAGCGGTTCGCTGCACCGATGGATCAGGAATTTCCTTAGTCGTAAGTTGAGGGTCCAGCTCGACAGCCATGTGACCGACTGGTATCTATCGAACAGTGGCGTGCCCCAAGGCACTGTACTGGGGCCCATTTTGTTCTTGATCCATGTAAACGATGTGCCTCAGCTACTCCGTTCACTTTGTGCGTTGTTTGCAGATGACTTAAAGGTGTGCAGAGTATTCCGCGCACCCAATGACTGTGACCTGCTTCAGCAGGACTTCGACCGCCTCTTTATGTGGTCTGCAGTAGTCAACTTTCCGGTCAAGTCGCAATATATGGAGCTGGGCAAGTGTGAGCATAGTCGAACGTACACTGTGGCCGGTCAACCGTTGCATCTTGCGCCTTTTGTGCGAGACCTCGATGTACTCTCACGCTACGACCTAAAGTCCATGGACAACACGAATAGGCCCTACCAAAACAGCCTTCGTATGCTTTGGGCGCTCAGGTGCAGCTTCAGTACTTGATCCGAAGAAATTGCCACTCGCCTCTTCGTCACAACAATACGACCAATTTTAGAGTATGGCTCTCCCGCGTATTGTCCTATCACATGGGGCGAGGTAGAGAAGATTGAGCGACTACACCATGTAGCCACCAGGCTGATTCCAAATTTACGAAGTGTGCCGTACGAAGACGGGAGTAAGAAACTAGGGTTGTACACCCTATCTTCTCGTCGACTACGGGTTGACCTCATCATGATGCACCTAATATAACATATCGGTGAATACTCAATGTCTGGGTCGCTGCTGCATCTGTGCACATCAAGCAGCACACAGGAGGATATCGGTACAAGCTTGTAGTAGCGGATTTGAAGCGAGTCGCTCACCAACTCTGTTTCGAACGGAGAGTGATGCATGTATGAATCAACCTGCGGCAACACATAGCTGCGGCAAACTCGGTGTCGGAATTTAAGAAATTCCTGGACAAACACTTTGCCTATGAGTGCGCTCCAACATAATGGGTCTTTGTACCTGAGTGATATTAGCTACAGCTACACAGAGATTTTTTTCTGCTACCAACCAACAACATACTAACGGTTGTTTACTTAGGTTCTCACCTTCACGGATGTCCAATTGCTCGCCAAAACCGCATTAAGTTGTACTTCCAGACAGTGAGCTTGTTTTGTTTATATCTAGAGATTACTTACGAGTGTAGTATTTACGACATAATTTGTTGAGGTTTCTAACAATACTTCATGCCAGGTGATCTCTTACTCATCCGGAGGAGCACTGGAAAAGATTCAGCTGTAAGAACAAAGTTTCCACGGCTCCGCTTTTTGTTTTAGCACAGGGATCTATTGCCCTCAGGTTCATTGAGTAACTGGTCTTGTAGATTTCGTTCAAAGCTTTAGTTCTGACTACGCCTTTGCTATCGATTAGCTTTTACTCTGCGTCTCAATACAGTATTGCGAAGTTACGCGTTTCCTCTCCAGTTTCAGCTTGCGTGTACAACCTGTGACTGCTTGGTCATTTAGGCCGTACCTAACCGAAACGAGTTGGTTGAGCTGTGCGTGGTATACTCATTGCGGTCATCTCCCAAGCAGACAGTCCCATTGGGACTAGTTAACCGTTCGCATTCTTCAGCCCCCCCCCCCCCAGGAACCGAGGGCATAATCTCTCACCAGCTACGAATGTTGCCATGAGGCAACCGCAGCAGATCATTATTACCGCGCTTAGGCGATGTTCATCCTCCATTGGTATCCAGTTCATGAACTTTGCAGAGGACAGGGTTACCTCTCCCAGTTACGATTTCCCGTACAGCGGCAATGTGCGATAGCATTTAAGGACTGCTGAGCGACTGCTTTCGACTACTTATGAGTAGGCGGTTGCTTCGCTGCATCCGGTTCCCAACCAGATAGCCTCTATCCTTATAGGGCGAAACCGCTGTCCGGCGCTTTTCCGGATACGTGGAGAATGTCTGATCCGGAGCTAAATGCGATGAATCATCTACAACTTAGATTTGCAATCCGCATAGTCGTGAGTTGTCCATCCTATCCAGCTGAACTGATTGCTATCTACTGCTTCTGCTCATGCTACTCCAGTAAGAAACGTTCTGTGCCCCATTTCTTCTTCCCCATCTATAGAATAATCTACCAAGTGCACACGTCTCCCCGATTCTCCGCACACAGTTGCCTACGAATATTTCTTTGAACGCCCCCCTCAATCCTGTGGGTTCTCTCCACTCTTTGACGTTCCACATGAAAAACACATTCATCGCGATTGCGTGTTCCTGCGAATCTCAGCTTTTTGCTGTTTATTTCAACAAAATTCACGCATCCATCCCGTCCTGCGAAACTTCAATCGATTTATCCATTTTGTATTCCTCCTTTCCTAATTGTTTCCCCACAGAGATAGGTTCCAATAGGCAATTCCTGTTCTGATTGAATTAGACATTTTCTACTGGGTACTTATTGCTCCCTGTCCGTATGTACGGTTTTTTCTTGCTTTTTATCCATATTTCACTCGACACTTGCACTATTTCCCCCGTAACCCAGTTGTTCGCATGTCTTGTGTACCCATGAAGTCCTGTTATCTTTTTCATTTTTATGATGTCATCACTTATTAGATCCAAACCGGACATCTGCAATCCTGTTATTATTTCGAACAATTGCGTCGATTGATGATTACGTTGTAAATGCAACCTTTGTCAGAGCACACGTTTTATTTATTTTCCACTACTCTATATTATACACTACTTGTGGTGACACTGAACCGCGAATGAGCTGTGTCTGGTTTCCACCTTATTCGCTTGATCCGTGGATGCAAGCGTGTGAGCGATGAACATGGTCATCCTCCGGACTAATCAGGTTGAACTTATCGGCTACTTTCTTACCTCTGATGACTATATTACTACCTATACTCAGTTCAGTGAAAGGAGGATTGGTTTGGCTCTTAACCACTGATCTCTTTTGAGTGGGTGTGTCTGGAACTCCTGGATCATGCCACTCGGAGTAGTTCAACGGATCACAGGGACTCATAGACCATCGTAATTGTTGGAAGTGTTACTTCATTCAATCCGTTGGCTACAACTGCTCTTCCTGTAGTCCGATGCTTGTCGTGGCGGCTCGGGTCGGTGCAACTGGGTCCACTGCGTTCGGTGTTCGATCGGTGGTTAAGTGAACAGAACTTTCAGTGTTTGTTGTCTTAGACATTCGACCAGTGGCAATCAGGCTGACCAGAAGTACACGTTTGGAAGAATTAAGACCCATCTTGATTGCTCATGAGCTTGAATTTCGAAGGGTTGTAGTGGGCTTCTGCCGACTTTTCATTGGAGCTCCCTTGACGGAGTTGGGCAAATGTTGCGCTCAAGCTATACAACTACGTGAGTGTATTGTCCGTTAAATGCTGTGCACTATGTGGTGTGTTGGAAGGGTAGCAAGGCACCAGCAGAATGCCGGTACAGACGCTTCGCTGTCTCGCGACCACCGCCAGTCGCTTTGGGGATTTGGGTACTGTGCGGATTCGAACCGGTGTACTTTGGTTGACAGAGCGGAGGCATCTGCCGTGAGCGCAACTTGTGAGCAACCGTTGTACATCAGTTCTGCGCGCGAAAGACTATGGTTGCGCTTGTAGTTAGACAATGGCAATGTGAACACAGACACGTGCTCAGGCTGCAGTGTTCGCTACTGATCTGGTTGAGTATTTGTGCAATACAACCCACTTGGATGTTGTACTTCTCCTGCTCATTGTGGTGGTTGTCCCTGTGCTTTTGCTTTGTCATCCCAAGTTTTATGAGTGGTGAGCGCCCTGATGCTACATCATTTACTGTCCACTTCGCTGTTTCACCCACCCTGGTGCAACGACACCACGGAATGCGCACCGAGGTGGACCTGCGGAGGACACAACCCAGCCTTGTTTATCTGTGATTTTCTGGTGTTGTACTATGCTTCTTGTGTGCGTGTACTATTACCCTGGGTGGTGGTGATTGTCCGGCGGCGCAAGCGCTCTTCGCCAGTGCGTCTGATGTGGCGCACTCGGTATTACGAGCTTGCCACATTGATGAGTCTGTGAGTGGCCGTGCGGCGTAAATATTGCGCTAGTGTACAGGCGAATACCTGCTTGGCCTACAATATGTGTTTTCGTAGTGTGGCGCTGTGGTTATTTGTTTTAGGATGGTTGGTGTCCTGTGTTTTCGCTGAATTTCAGCGGAGTTCCGCTGGTGCGGTAGTTGTAGGCATCGCGACTGTGTAATTGCTTGTGTGTATGTGTGCTGGAGTGAATTTGTTTGAGGTTGTGTGATGTGTTTGTTATAAACGTCATTGTTGGGTTTCGACTGTCCTAGTCGGAATGAACAAACTCTTTCCCTGGTTGTTTTCCACACGCAGAGTGGTCTAGACTATTCATATTTGAACGGCTAATGGACTTAGTCGGCAGACGTGAACTCGTAACTGAGAAGGTCGATAGAACGCGTAAACGCCGAACCACTGTACCGAGACCCGTAGAAAAAATACTGGTCAATAACAGTGCTTTTGCTGACTCAAGCAAAGTAACCATGCTTTTTACACCTTTATATTTATAGTTCATTAAAACAGTAGTAATTGTATGGACTACGATTTGTCTGTAAGCGCCTGAATGAGAAGACACGAAATAATCTGAATTCAGGTTATCCCGCATAAATGCTGTTTGTTCTTGCTCTATTAACATTTCCGAAAGGAAGTGGCTGCATGAAATTCTTAAGGGAAGGTGTGTGTTTGTTGGCACATGAATTGCCACCTAATAGTCTTTCTCCAAGCAGAGATGATCGGAGCCGATACTGTAGATATGTTGGACGCATCACAGTTGCTGGGTGTGCTCGGTCGCCAAGGCATTAGCATGAACACCGCTTAGGAGGCAGACTCTTGACTTGAGGAGAGCTCGGAAGCTACGATGATGAGACTGGGGCGAGTTTATTGGGAACTGTGCGGGATACGTTGGCCGCTTTCTCAATAAGAACCACTCCGTTGTGATTTGTGCAGATGAGTGTGCCCTTAACGGTAGTTTCCGTAGGGGGAACTCCGTTATGAACTGAGTAATTTTGGTCTCTGCATAGCGATCGTGTTGTTTAAGTCCGATAGTGCATGTCTTCTGAACCTTTATTCAGCCGTAGCCGCCCACTTTTGAACCTTTTTATTTCTTATGAACTCTACCCTTGGTCACCAAGATTTCAGCAATCCACAACGCCTAACAGACATCAATCTGTGATTTCCAGTGGTCATATTTGTATCTTTTGTTATGCTGGCTAGATTTTTAATGCAATCACTGCTCTTTCCCTTATAATCCACATTTTTGAACTTTCATAGCCTCAATATAGCATGCATTGTGCGGCAACTTCAAGCCAATTGTTTGTAATTGCACAGAACTTGTCCTTAATCTTTAAAACTTCATTTGATTATTTTTGGCTTTTAAATGCAAGTCATGTAATGATTTAGGAGCTGACAATATGTTTGTTGTGATATTAATGCGAGGTTTGAGCTTGCTTACGTCCTGCTCCAGACTTGAACGTGAGAATCGCAGATTCCCGCTTGCTGTGATGTCCAATCTGTTTCTATCTGATGTTATAAAAACCACTGCTGAATCCACATTCAACCAACTAGGTGGATAAAAATCAGGGGCATCCGTTTTTATCCAAAAATCCCTTTTATATTGCGTGATTTTGGATCTTGCTGATGTGTCACTTTGAAACTCTATGAGACTTTCCTGGATTTTAACTTCGACATTGCAGGGCTGTACATCAAATGGATCTAAAATCCAAATCGGGATTTCCATGTTAAACTGGTCATGAAACCTGTACTTCATCTTTTTCGGAGTTGTTGTTGATGACTGGCATAAACAATCAAGTCTTCATCCTTCAGTTCCTCGGTGACTAGCGAGAATTGGAAACTGAGAAAATTCTCCTAGTCCGATGTTTCATGAATACACTTCCAGCTTTTTAAGAAAGGCGATAATGGCTTCTTTGCTCGCGATAACATTACTCAACTTGCCTTACGGAGTTTCATTTACCAAGTTGAGTTCTTCAAAAACAGCAGCCACATAAAACACTTCCAGCTTATCTGTTAACGGTTTTTTTTCATACTCAGTTTCATGATGTTTCAGAGTGTAACAAAACGACAACATCGGTTGCCCTCGGAGAGCCATCTAACTTCTGTATGTAGAGTTGAGCCTGGAAACCTGTACTGTTCTCCTCACACAACTGCTGGAAAAGACGATCTTGAAGTGATTTGATATGGTTAACTGCTATTGTAAAAGTTGACAGTGAGTCCTTTATGCGCTCTCCTTAGATCTTAGCTACTAGGTGCTCTCGATGAATCACACAGTGAAATGTATGAATAGAACGGAAATCATTTTTTAGATGGGTACTACATCTCTTATATCTTCCGACCATTGCGGCAGCACCATCTGTTACACATGCAACTATGTTCTGTATTGAAATGTTCATTTAGCTATTGGCTACTTCAAGTATAGACTGGCCCTTTGTACGAGTTTTAATTATTCTGACAAGCAGCATCTCTTCCAATAGTTCATTATCATCATAGGATCGGATATATGCCATGAAGAGAGCGTCGTTTTCAAGTAAAGTAGACTCATCTGGTTGTAACGAAAATTTTATGCACTGTTGGAAAGCAACTAAGGTACTTTTATTGTCCTGAGTCATCTACTGTATGCGCCTAAGTACAATCGAATTGCTGACCGGAATGGCTTAAACTGCTCCTCGTGGATTCATATTCATCAGGTCAGACCGTGTTCTTGACAGTGAAGGCATGCTACCATTTTCTCCAACGATATGTGGATTGCAATTTTTGGCAATCAACTTGCTGATCTTATACACTCCGTAAAAGTGTACAAACACTGTTAGAGGCAACCCAAAGTTAGCTTCTGAAAATGATAATGAAAATCTCATGCGTAGCTAAAATGAATAAAGAAAATATCTTAACGAAAACCAATAACAGGGAGAAAAATGAAAATTATAATATGACAATGCTCACTGGGCACATTCATTACAGGAAAGTTGGAGCAACTACTGACGAAGGTACGATGAGAGACAGATAAGACAAACATCAAAAACTGCCTATAGTTCCAAAAACCTGCGTGCGGGGAGTCGACAACGATAATAAAAACGCACAGCAGTTATTGCCAAAGACGGCGCAGTCTGTCTTCATAGGCTTGTATGACCGAGAGCTGAGACAATTTCTCAGTTGCACATCGGAGGAGACGCTTGGTGTGCCTCCCGTTAAATTCCTGGAGAAACGAGAGCGTACCATGACATGATCATACTCGATGAAGGTGTTCCAGAACGAGAAACAAACCGGTAAGGGACCACCCCATCTGTGACTTATGGCAAGGTGATCAATTTGGTTCCATCACTGGCCAGCTACAGGAGGATGCCAAGTAGCACTTCGATGCCCACTGTGTCGAAAAGCAGTGCTACTAAGAAACAACTGGTGCTCGGCACACAGTTGCAAAAGACGCTCGCTGTGGTCAGTCGATTCGGATTTAAGCCCTTAAGTACCATCCAGCTGAGCTTTTGAAGAGCTCAGACGCCCTACTTATGCGTTCATATCCCCT